TCTGGCAGATGATGTGGAATCCGACCGACCCAGAATCAATGGCATGGATTTGTATACTGAAACAAGACAAAAATGCAGCCGGGTGTGGTGGTGCACAACTGTAATCCCAGAACTTGGGAGGCTGAGGCAGGAGGATCTTCACAAGTTCGAGGCCAGCCTGGGCTACATAGTGAACTACATAACAAGACCCTGTCTCAAAAACAAAAACAAAAAGACAGAAATGCACTCTGAAATTTAAAGCAATATGGTGCTTAAATATCCCTCATTGTCCTTTAGTGGACAATGAAAGCAGAATATGTGCTTTCAAGAAGAGTAATTCCAGAGTAAGCTCCCCAGAAATTTCAACCAAGTGCTATGTGCAGGAGTGATTCTGTCAGTTCAAGTCTTGACAGTGATAAGGGCTACTGAGCTGAGCATTGGTTCACTGGATGCTTTGGGATCCTGACCCATTCTGTGGGGGTCATAACCACAGGCGCCTGCAGAGACCGAGGGATAGAGTAAGACAAGCAGCGTGATGAATAGACAGTCTGGATTCTAGGGTGAAACCCATACCTGTGTCTATGGCTCCAAACCACCCTCTCCCAGCAAACAGTAGTGGATGATTCCAACTTCTTTATTTTGAGAGGGAATAGATTTAGTAGCTAAGCATAGACATTGGAGCCAGCTGGATTTAAATCCCAGCTCTTCCACTTACTGACTTTTCCTTGGGAATTATATTAGTTTCCTATGCTGCTGTAGAAATTACCACAAACACAACAGTTTAAAACAGCAGAGATGTATTCTTTTACAGGTGTGGGGGCCAGAAGTTAGAAATAAATACTAAGGATAAATTTAAGGGCAGGGCACAGCAGGTTCCTTCTGGAGACTCAGAGAGAAGCTGTTCCTTGCCTCTTCCACCTTCTGGTGGCTGTGGGCATCCCTTGGCTCATGGCCACATCACTCCAATCTCCACACCCTTCCACACGTCCACTCCTGTCCTAGAAGCACATTCTCTGTCTTCCTTTTGTAAGAATGTCTGTGGCTACCCCGGGCTCACCCAAGTAATTCAGGGTAATTTGTGTGTTTCAAGATCCTAAACCTGGACACGTCTGCAGAGACCCTTGTTCTGTTGAAGACAGGAGTCGCGGGTTTCAGGAATGGGAACCTGGGTGCCTCAGTCAATCTCCAGTCACTGGGAATGCCAGACACCTCTAACTTAAAGAGGAGAGGACCGACTTGGCTCATGGTTTGGGAGTCTGAGTCCATGGTCAGTTGTCTCCAAGGCAGAAACAGAATGGCAGAAGGGCCTGGGGGTGGGGGGGGGAGCTGCTCACGCCGTGGGAGCCAGGAAGCAGAGAGAAGAGGAACTGGGGACAAGACCACAGCCTCAGGCCACGGACCAGTGATTTCTCCCAACCAAGCCCCACCTCCTCACAGCCAATAAACTCATCAGTGGGTTTTACTCCGCTGAGGAGTCAGCATCTCCCAGATCCAGCCACCATCCCCCAATCCTTACGAATCACCTTCCACAATATGTGACACTTTGGGGAGATCTTGTATCTAAACACTGGGTGTCTTTGGAGGATCCAGCCTACCAGAGCAGAGTTGATTAACTGAATTTCACTTTCCTTAAATGGAGATAACTATTCCACCATCCAAGGTTGTTATAAAAAGTTAAACATATGAAGATATGTAAAGCTTTTAGAAATAATAAAAAATAACCATCCAAGAAATGTTGAGGTGGTGCACACCTATAATCCCAGCACTCTGGGAGGCTGAGACAAGAGGATCACAAGTGTGACCCCAGCCTGAGCAATGTAATTCCTTTGAGGAACCCGACAATAAAAACTTTTAAAAAGGGTTCAGGATGTAGCTTAGAGCAAAGGCCCCCAGCAACACACACACACACACACACACACACACACACACACACATGCACACAGCAACTTCGATATTACCTTGCACTGTGCTTTCACACTTCCAAACAATGATTATGAGCTCCCCAGCTGTGTTCCCTGCAGCATACCTGGTCCCTGGTATGACTGGGGCCCGTACTGGGTATACGCATCAGCTCACTGGGCCCCAACAAAGTGTTACACACCAGAGAACTTAAAGCCGCAGAAATTCATTCTCACACTTTTCGAAGTCAGGGTTCCCAAGCCAAGATGTTGCAGAGCCTTGCACCCTCCAGAGACTCAGAGGGGACTTGTGCTCACCTCTTCCTGAGCCTGATGGCTTGGCTGTCCTTGGCCTGTGCTGGCTATAGCTTCAGCCCTAATCTCTGTGTTCACCACCATATGTCTTCTGTGGGGTGTGTGTGTGTGTCCAACATTCCTTTCCTTCCTATGAGGACACCACTCTCACAGGATTTAGATCCTTCCCTAACAGGAAATGTCTCATTTTAACTAATTAGATGCAAAGACTTTATTTTCAAGTTAGTTCATATTCTCAGGGTCTAGGTGGATGTGAATTGGGAGGCAGTGCTACTCAGTCCAGTCCAGTACATAGTAAATATTTAATTTTCTGAAAAAAATGAATGAGTCCTGAGCCTTAACTGACCCTGTGAGCTTGTTTCCATGGAGAGTACAGCAAACAGGCAAGGAAAGCACCAGAAGGGCTGAGATCCAAACGTGTGGCATGGATGGGAGAGCTTCATCCATCCTGGAAGCCAGTTACTGGCAGCCAGAAATGAACTCAAAATCTGCTTGGACCAAAATGGAGAGTTAGGTCTCCCTGCCTCTCCGGACATAAACAGTACAAGTTTGGAAGGATTAGAAGGGAAACTGTCTCCAAATTAGACTTTCAGTTCATAACAATAGCATTCAGTTGGGAACCTATGTTTTAATTTGAGCAAAGAACTCTAGTAGCCCACAGCTACTTATATTCCCATACACTACTTATACAAGAATGTTGGAAAGATATGCAAAACAACCATTTAGTTCACTTTGGTAGCAGCAACATTGTTTATTCTGTTGACATGAATCTTCTGTTTGCAATTACGAATTTGGCAAGATCCTACAATATAGATTTCTCCATACAGATTCTAAAAATACATCCTACATGCACACAGCTATAGCAAGTAAAATGAGCAATTGCTTTATCTAACTCATAAGCCAAACTGGGAAAGAGCCTATACATCGATGCAACATTAATTACCTCAGATGAATGAAATGGCACTAATACAAGGGTTTAATAGAAGGTCGGGATGAAAACAAAAGAAGAAGGTTGGGAGTGGGCTGCAGTTCTTGTCATATTGACTATTATTTTCCTGTATATGTGGATAGCCTCCAAGAAAGACACAGCCTAAATTTCATAGCATAAAAATATAATCTAGGTAACTCTTCAGGTGAAAAAGGACTCATCATTTTGGGTATTCGCTACTTAAAATTTAAACTCAAGAAGATTAAGAAACAGTTGTAGCCAAAACAATCATGAATGGACATTCACATTTAATTATTTTCAGTATCCCGGTAAGTATCTCTTCCTATTCTTGTTTTTACTCTTATATTTTTGTCTACAAAAGTTCATCGTTATATGCAAATCAGAGGCCAATATCACCCATCATTCCTTTTGCCACAACATCTGCTGTGTTCTAGTAGCCAAAAATGTCTACGTCAAAGGAGAGTTAAACACCCTAATGCATGCGATTGATCCACATAACCCTGAGTTACCAGAAGGGAGAGGGGAATATCATCCTGACACGAAGAAATCATTAGCTCGCACCATGCTTTAACTGCACAAATTAACATCAGCCCGCAGTTCCGGATGCAGAAAAGAATTACACTTGCCCTAAAATAAAATTCAGCTGCAGGTTAAAGAAGAACATAGATCCTGCCCTCTCTTTGTGCTGTGTCTGCTGCTGGGGCTCAACTGCTGAAGGCACATAGATCTTCCCGAAGCAGCAGGAAGATTGCTCTGAGGTTTGGGAGCTGCTTTCAAACATGTTCTCCTTCTCTGAAGGAATATTACAGTAAGGGAGCTTCCGCTGAGGACATGTCGCAGACACTGCACATTTGCCTGTTTCGGCTCTGTGACCCTTGATCTACTGCCTGAGAGCCTGGGTCAGAGGGGTGAGGAGGAGACAGGAGACAGGGAGAGCAGGGGATGCAGAGTGAGAAGGCTTCACACTTGGGCTGGAGGTGGGGTGACGCGGGCTGGGATCTCCCGGGGAAACCGTTTACTGTGATGAAAGACTAACTACACAGAAAGTGTTTTCTTATTTTCAGAAATAAACTACATCTCCAATTTTGAAATCTTCAAGAGTGAAAATAGCCTCTTATCTTATCTCCTTCAGCTTTCCAGGCCTGTAAACAGTCATACTCTGAGGGTCACAGAGATTGCTAACATTGAAGCAGACATGCCCATAAAAACATGCTCAGAAGAAATTATCAAAGAATTTACATCATCCATACCAAATGAGTCAAAGAATTTCTCTTTGCATTTCCAGTACAGTTAAAGGAATTTGTTTGCAGATCGGATTTTTTAAAAAGATGTTTACCTATTAAATAAATTGTCAAGCCTTATTAATTTCCCTCCTACTTCTGCCTCTGCTACAACCCTAGTCTCTGAGTCTTACATCCTAGTGGGTAAGTATATTCGGTCTTTGCATAATTTTGTTCCAAAAGAGCCTTTCCTGATCGAAAAACAAAATTCTCACATAGATTTTTCCACCAATCTACAGAACCATGGGGTGGGGATGTTCTTTTTAGCTACTGTACTGAATCCTTTCAATTGAGCCATTATAGTTATCTATCTTACGGCTAATATGAACATCAATAAACTCAATATTTTTCCAAAGTTATGACAATAAGATTTTTATTTGAGCAATCAGAATATGAACAGAGTAATTCCAGGAATACTGAGACTTATGTAAAACTTACCATCAAATTATTCCCAACTTTGAAAATTTCTTGGGTCCTTTGATCACACTTTGAAAGCCCCATCTTATAATCCATCCTTTTAAATCTCACTAAAAGAAGGCCAACCAATTTCATCAATTAATTGGTTTCAATATTCTATGGACAATTGTAGGTTATGTTTTTCCATTCCCCAATCAACATCTTTACCAATTTCTGGCGCTTTGATTTAGCGCAAAGGCTGATGAGAGAGACCCAGTGAGAAAGTTGGGTATCTAGTTCTCCCCTATCATAGCTTTCTCAAGATATCAGTCTTAAATTCTGGTACTGGAATCCAAGAGAACCAGATTTGCTGCATTTATATAATTTGTGCAGCAGCATTAACCATTTGTTTTATCAAATGGACTTTGCAAATGCTTAAAGTTTTAATGGCTAATGTGTCCTTAATTAGTCTAATTTTCAGTTGTCTATTTGTGTTTTCCTTCCAGCAGAAAGGAAATGCATCTTTTTACCATTGCCTACCTAATGTGTTGAATAGGTCTCCAGAAATCCATGCCAAAGTGGAACCTCTGAATGTGGCCTTCTTTGGAAACAGGATCTTTGCAGACATAGGTAATTAAGTGAAAATGAGATCACACAAGTCGCAGTGGGCCTGAATCCACTGATTGGTGTCCTTGTGAGAAGTATCAGTAGAGCCACAGAGGCATTCATGGAGCAGAATCCTGGTGGATAATGAAGAAGAGATTGGTTTAGTATGTGCAGAGCCAAGAAGAGCCAAGAATTACCTGCAGAAGCTAGTATAAAACAAGGAGAGAGCTGCCCTTTGAGTTTTCATAGAGTATGACTCTGACAACAGCCTGAATTTGTCCTTCTCACTTTCAGGACTGTTTAAATTTCTTTCTTTTTAAAAAATTCCTGTTCTTGTAAAAGACTCAGTGTGTGACACTATGTAGCAACAGCCATCAAAAAGGAGGACTAAATAAGGACTAAAAGGTATAATAGATAATGCGAAATAGGAAGAAAAGGGGCAAAGGGGAAGGGAAAGTGGGAGGGGTAGGGGAAAGGAAAAAAAGGAAGGGAATTAATATGAGAAAACGAAAAAATGGAAACAAAGTCTTTGTAAATAGGGAGGGATAGAGAGGTTGAAGGGAGGGCAGGGGAAGGGGGAAAAGTAAGAACCAAGAGAGATTATGTAAAGGTGCAAATTTCCAATGATGAATGTCATTATACTGTATACCTAAAATGTACCACAAAATAAAATTATAAAAAGAAAAGGGGGGCCAGGGATTCGGCTCAGTGGTTTCGCCGCCTGCTGAGCAAGCGGAAGGATCTGAGTTCCATCCCCGGCACCAAAAAAGAAAAGAAAAGAAAAGGAACACAGACTGTGACTCTATCTCCAGGAGGTGTGATGCTCTCTCCTCAAGCTATAAACCAAGAATACAAAGATGGAGTTAATTTCCTGGATTTTCTGGTTAGGAAAAACCCATCCCTAGGAATTCCACAGCCTCTGGAATTGCCACCTTTCCCCCTTATTTAAGAGTGCATCAAACAACTAGCGGTCTCTAGTTCCCCAGCAATCAAATCTGAAGAAATCTGAAATAGACTCCGTAGTTATTCATTTTATTATGAAATTATCCAACAAAATGCAATTCGAACATACTCCCATTCCAATAAAGCAGAAATGCCTACTGACCCCATGACATAACCATCTGTGAGAAGCTCCAGATCTTCAGCATCTCAAAGCCACAGGAAGTTTTCTTCTTATTGGGGGATCCCAAAGAGCTAGTGGGGATCTGCACCATCATGACTTGTAGAAGTGTCTCTTCATGACAGTGGTCCAAGGACTGGCAGCCTCTGACGACTGTTAACTTCTACTCTAGCGTGGTGGTGGTGATTCCTAGGCACAGTGCCTCCTGACTGCATTTCATTCTGTAGTTTCTGTAGGACTCCACTGACCCTGGAGGATAGCTTATGTCCTTAAAGAGCATCTAAGTTCTTTACTAACTGAACCTCACAGCGGACCTATCTCTGTATCACTTTCAAAGGCTGAGCACTATGGGTCTCTGCAAAGCCCTCACAGGCACTAGCTATCACAAGATACATGGCAGAATAATTTGGGAAGATTCTTTAGAAACATAGATTGCTAGGCTCCATCCCCAAAGTTCTTTAACGGCCTGAGGATTGGATTATTCTAATGTGGCGAGCCCATGGTCCAGAAGTGAGATCCTTGGCTCCAGCCACAGTCCTGAGTATTCTTCTGTGAAACAAATCTTATTTAAGAGAGTGGGTGTCACTGACAGCTCACATTCCCCTCTCCCAGCTCACCCTTGAGCCAGCATTCTGTTTCTTGGGCAGACCGAATTCCTTTTCCATCAAGTTCTTTTCCTTTCTTTGGTCAACTCTTGAAACACCTTTACCTTTCGTCATCTTGCCTTCAGCTCCTTCTCATTATGAGAGCCTTAATTAGTTTCAAGTTTCCCCATCAGACTACCTTCCCTGACCATCCAGTAAACACCAGCGTCTTCTTGTCCTTGTCACTCTCTTGTCGTCCTGTATTATGTTTGGAATCATGTTCCACCAGCTGGAATGATCTTATTTATTTACCTCTCTCCTGGAATAGTGTCATTCCCCCATCCCTGCACTCTGCTCTGGTGGACGCCCGGGCCCTGGTCACTGCAGTAGAATGCTCTGGGAAACGGGCAGAGGCAGGGGATAAAGGTAGAGGTTAGTGCACAGAAGGAGGTAATGTGTTTCACATTTTTAAAAAATCTAAATAACAAAAGAACTCGGCACAAAAGTAATCTTAAAACATCAAGGCTGTGAGTATAAAATGCCTCTTGGCTTTCTTCTTCATCTTCTTCCTTCCTTCCTTCCTTCCTTCCTTTATTTATTTATTTATTTGTTTGTTTGTTTTGTACTCGTGATTAAACCCAGGGATTTTGCACTGAGGTACATCTCCAGCTCCTATAAAAATTTCTTTAGAGACAGATCCTCACTAAGTCACTAATTTTCCCAGGCTAGGCTAGAACTTGTGATCCTCCTGCTTTAGCCTCCCTGTAAAATGCTGGGGTTACAGGTATGCACCACCATGCCTAGCTTTGGCTTTCTTTTGTTAAACCACGTAGAAAGTCCAAATCCCCTGATAAAACACAGGTCACCACAATCAAAAACTTTGCAGTATAGAGTTGTTCTCTTGGAAGAATCTGAAGTATATGGAAGACTAGATTTAAAAAAAACCACAAACTCCTTTATACCTCCCCTTCTACTTTCTCCACATTTACAAATGTATTACAATGGTTTCCAAGATTCAGGAATGGCTACTGCACAAGTGTCCACAACAGATGTGCCAATTGAATTCCACCGGGAACCCCAAGCAACATTAGCGCTAAGACGTACTAAAGAGGCACAAAGCAGCACAAATGGACAATAAATACATGACAACATGTTCATCATCTTTAGACCAGAATGGCAATCATTGAGAAAACAAAAATGAGGAAATCACTTTGTGGAGCTACAGTGTAACCAAGAAACGCAGCCAGAGTTCTCTGCTCTCCCACCACCTTTTAAATTAAATCCAGAGTGTCCATGGTGCGGCTGGAAGGTGATTTACTTTCCCTCCTTCAATAGTACAATAAACATGTTCACCCTGAAGAAATAGTGTCTGGACCACTTATCTAACCCAATCTGGTCCCCCCAAAATAGATCAAGAGAGTCTCACTAAAGAAGCAGCGAAGTGTTTGAAAAAGACAGACTTCATATAGGCATGATACAAGCAGACTGCAAATGCTGTGAGGAAAGAAATACATTGTATTATTTAGTGCAAGTTTCATCACAGAAGTACACAAAGTGTTCCCTCCTTCCAGGTTCTTCTTATACAGAAATTGGATCCTAGTAATAATAGACTCAAAGCAAATAAAATTGAAGCCTACATTAGAAGAGAAGAGAATTTACCCTTTGTTACTGGAAGAACTGATATTCATTGGGAAAGTACTATATATCAGGCATAGCCCAAGGCACTGTTTACATATAGAATTTGTACATAGTGCAAATCCTCCCCACAAGGCACGCGCTCCATTTTCAGATGGACAAATGGAGTCTCAGAAGTGTCAGCAAGCTAACTAGAGAAAGACCTTGGAAAGAGACTAAGCTGATAATATCCATCCATTTTTTTTTAGCCCATGTTGCTAGAACCACCCTGTATTTTAAGAAGCTCAGACTTTACATCTGCTACAATGACTGCACGGAGGACCTGTCCTATTGCACCCTTACGACTACTGGCAAGTTCCAAGGCTGTTTCTCTCTGTGATCTATCAGGAAAAAAAATTTCTCCTTAAATAGAAGCACTTCTACTTCCTTCACCATTCAACTCAGTTTGATCATTCACAGCAGACCATGTGATCCTTGCACTGCTGTTCGAGCCTTCTTTGAATACTCTTTAAGGCTCAGGCCACTTACTTTTCCTAAATGTACCTCAACCCCTTGGTCTACCATCTTGCTTTCTTCTTTCTAAAAAAGTTGCTTTGGTTTGCTGTTTGGTATTTGAACATTATTTTTCTGAATCTACATGCCACATGTATTAAATCACCCAAAGCACAGTTTGTATTTTTTCTTTTTTCTGCCAATGTGACTTTTTTAGGGCCTTTGATTTGCTCCCTTTGCTTCTGCTATGGCTGAAGTGAGCTAAACACTTTGGAAGCAATGGTCTTTGGCCTCAATGCAGTCATCTCCTCTAAACCACCTGATGAGATGTTAACTTCAGATGCAAATACAAAGGATAAGAAGTCAATGACCCAAAAGAAAACAGAGCAAAAAAAAAAAAAATGATGTCCTGATCCTACCATAATCATTAACTAATATTTATTAACTACTTACTAGATACACAAGATGGAGCTACCTAAATAAAAATTCAATGATTTTCTAATTAGATAGTTAGAAATCTGCTAAACTGCCCCTCCAAAGTCATAGTCAATTAAAAATAAAAGTTTAGAGATTGTTGAGGTTACTTACTGGAATCATGACTTTGTTTTTCTTTTCTCCTCTCTCTCTCCCTTCCTTCCTTCTTTTTTCTCCCCGCCCCCCACTCTCGGCTGACCCCAAGGAGTGCTGAGCTACATTTGCAATTATTTTTATTTTTCTTGAGATAGAGTCTTGCTAAGTTGACCAGACTGGCCTCAAATTTGTAATCCTTCTCCCTCAGGATCCCTAGTAGCTGGAATTACAGACATGAGCCACTGTGCCAAGAGTTAAACCATGAAAAATTTTAAATACTTAGAGGAGTTAAATAAGTGTGCCATGATCATATAGCTGGTTGATGCCAAGATTACCATTGGACTACACATATTTCCTATAGTTACGTCTAGGAGAGTATCAAGAGGATTTTACAAAAGAATAAGAAGTCAGAACAAATGCCTACGATAGAAATGCCAGATCAAATGCTGGGGAAGGATTTAGGAATGCCATCCCAATTTTATGTTTTATTATTCAAGGCATGAATTCAAATCGATGCTTCACTTATTAGCATAAGATTTTATGCTGGGCCGGTTGCTTCAACTTTTTAAATTTCAATAAATAAAAAATCAAATTTGGTTGTCTGTACATAAAACCCAATTACAAAACTTCAACAAAATGCAGAAAATCGTCTTCATGAACCCAAGCCTAGAGCTGGGCATGGCAGGGTTGGTGGAGATGCCGGCCGGCACCTGGGCACCTGTCCTAAGGTCCCTGATGGAGACCGGAAGATAGAACCAGGCCAAGTGCAGGGCTCCCCCAGGGCCCCTTAGGAGGCTTCAGGACCTAACTCTGCAGGCCAAACACTGCCTCACAGCTTGGCTTAGTCTCATGAGAGGCTCAGAAACAGACAGGCACAGGAATCTACTGATAGGAAAGACAACTGGCCCTGCGCATTCTAAAAACACAGAGATTACAGTGCTCACGAAATTGAAATGTTAGTGTTGTTCTCATTACTAGCAAGGAAATCATGGATCGGGGAAGAGCAGGGGTGCTTACCACACCAAGTCAGCACTGTGACCACGTTCTGTGTAAGCAACTCACCAGTGGCCACTGCAGCCCTGTAATACTGTGACGCAGAGACATTAATGTCCACAGGGAAGTAAAGGACCCTGTCCACAGTCCCATGGCTGGGAAGTGAAGTTGAGTTTCAAATCCAAGTCCGTTTCATGCCAGAAACCCACTTTTCTGGAACGCTTTTTCCTCTTTTGGCCTGACAAGGTGACAACATGAGCACCATACTCTGCCTCTGGTGGTCTTTGGGGCTTGACTCATTGTCTCAGGCCTTGGGAGTCTGGACATGCTCAGCTGCGGCTGGGAGTCTGAGCTGTTGGAGAGGTGGTCAGGAGTGGAAGAAGGCTGCAAACCCAGGCAGCAGACTCAAAGGAGCATTCCTCACAGACACATGACTCATCCGAGCCTGCTGTGCACCACACATAGCCCCCACACGCTCTGCACCTCAGAACTGAACAATGCATCCCACACCTCACTCCTGAGCTGTGTAGGCCTCTTCCTGCCAATACGAGATCAATAGAGCCAAATATACTCTACAGGTGAGTCACAGGGCAAACTTCCACAGCACAGGACTCTGAGGGCTTTGGGTTTCTGGAAGACCTTTCCAAAGAAGGATTTTTCATTTCCTTCCCAGAGGGGACATGTACTTGGATGCATCTCCCTGAACCTCCCCTAGATTTTCCACATTGAACAGGACAGCACTGCACTCACACTCTACATGACGCTTTATTCTTGACGGTGACCTTAAAGAGGCTTCAGGCTGAGAGAAGTGAGTATCCTCAGCACCATCACTGGCAGAGCTACTTGAAGAAGACAAGTACAAAATAATGAAGAGAAATGTGGAAACCTTTGCCTATAGTCTACAGATGGGGATTAACATAGAAATTAACACTGTGAGTGGGTTGAACATGAAAAGGTTGAACACATAACAAGCCAGGTGTGGACAGAGATGAGTAAGATCCCTTTATAGGGTTCTGCTGGAGGAAAATGAAGTGGACAGTCATCGGGACACATCTCACCAATTCGTGGGATGATGTCACCAACAGTTGTGGTGCCTAGATGTTGACACTCATGGTTGGAATAAAAGGAGCTGCCTCAGATGGCAGAGGTGACTGGGAGCACTTGTTACATCTTATTTATTTAAAAGCCTCTCATTCAGCCCTCCAGCGCACAAACACTGTTCTATAGTGTTGGGAAGAGAGGAATGACCCAAATGGAGGAGGTCCTGTTGTCACACGGTGAGTTCTACTAAGGAGTTCTGATAATGCACAAGTAAAACGGAAATGCAAACAGGCCAATCTCATCCTGTGCTAAATAGTGGGAAGAAAAACAAGCAGAGTTACTGGGGGTGATGAGTGTGAAGGTTTTCCCTTATTAAAGGGAAGACTTCAAGAAGAAAGTGATATTTGACCTGAGACAAGATAGACGAAAGGAAGAAGCCACATTCAGATCTGCTCAAGAGGTTTCAACAACCTGAGAGTAGAAATGCAGGGCCTGGAACCAGAAACTGACAAGCCATCGGGACCAGTGATTAAGAAGGACTAGAGGTCCCACTTGACCCAGCTATTCCCCTGCTGGGTATATTCCTGAAAGAATTAAAAGCATCATACCACAGTGATATATCCACATCCATGTTTATAGCGACACAGTTTGTAATAGCTAAAGCT